GTCTGAGTGAGAGAGGACCCATCCGTGCCAGTAAAAGGAATTGGATCCTTGATCACCAAGTCTTCCCATTTGCTCTGTGCGGGGCGGGGCATCGACCGCAACCATGGATCAGATTTGAGCCAAGGATCTTTGCTCTCACTGGAGGTGCTGGGCTGTTTTCGAGCCTCAGCAGGTGCAGAGGCTCCATCAGCTGGTTGCATTGTAACATCCTGTTGATTGTTGGCACCCGCTGATGTGAACTCAGCCGGAAATCGATTCTCAGCAACCCGAATGAGAAACCATTGTCGGATGTTCGCCGCAAATTCAACGAAATGGGGGTCAGCGCCCGCATTTGTCCAGACTGCCCTTGCCTCGATATGCGCTCTGTCAAGATCAGCCGCAAGCGAGTGGAAGCTGAGCTGCCTCCGTTGTGGAGCCTGCAGCGGCACGGTGTTGGCAGCAAGCCGGTGGTAGATCTGAGCCACAAGTTGAAAGCCACACATGTGCAACGGACTGCGTTGATCATAGAAATGGATCGACAACTGAGTATCCCTGGCGAGGGTGACATTGATCAAATGGTCAACCAAAGGCTGAAGCCGGATGTGCGAATCAGCTGGGAACGTGAACGCAAAGTTGGAGGAATCCTCATGGAGGTAAGCCTCAGCTTGAACCCAATGTCGGTCAACTTCAATGATCCAAATAACTTGGTTGTAGGCCCTGTAGTCTGGGAGGTAGTCATTAAAGAAGTGAAGGCTTGAGGACCCAACATTCCACGATGATGGAGGGCAGAAGAGCGTCTGAGGGTTCATAGCCCGAGGCCCTTCCAGGGCTATGTCAAGCTCATCTGAGGACAACCATCCTGGGTGCAGCAAAATCTGTGCCAGACGGTGTCGAATCCTGTCAATTGCAAGCTGAGTCCGGTTGGGCTGGAGAGGATGTGGTGCAAGAGGCACATCAGGCGGAGGAAGCGAACTTCCGAGCTGTGGAATTGGTGGCGGGCACCCCGTGAACAAAGCAATTTGAGGATGTGGTCTACCCTGCCATTCACGTCTGGCCAGAAAGAACAGGAAATTCTTGCGGAGATTGAAGGCAAGCTGGCCAACCTCAAAGTTGATCTGTGCCATGGCCCAATCCTCGCTCGAGCACTGTAGTGCAACTTGAATGAGATCTGTGTACTCGGCATTGAGTTGGATGTGGTTGGAAATGTCAGCAATGCCCTGATGAATGCCATGGCGTCTGTACCAACGAAAGATCAAGTCCCATCCACATGTGTGAGGCTGCGGATCATTGACTTCACATTGAACTTGAAATCGATGCGGCGCAACGTCAATGAGACGTGCAACCAGAAAAGTCAAGGCTGTGTGAAGGTTCACAGGCACCTGGATGAAAGTCACTGAAGTCTCAGTACCTCTACGTGTGATCTCAATGCCAGCCCAATGGCTGCCAATTAGCGCCGGAATTGCAGTTGTGGCATTGTTGGGGATGTCAAGTTCCCCAAACACAGGCTCCTCAAAGTCGCCCTTGGAAACATCCCACATTTGAGGTGTGGCAAAGCGCAACCAATTCTGTTGCCATTGCAGAGCTTGTGTGTAATGGTACATCTCGTCAGAAGCGACCCAGCCGTTTGTGTCACACATGAATTCCACACGGGCAGTGAAATCTGAGAGTGCAGGCAGCGAAGGAGGAGCTCTCGTGTTGAGATGGTGTCCTCCTGCATGGACTGGCCGAGGGCAACAGACATCAACAATGTCACCATCACAAAGCCTCTGTAAGTTGTTGCTGACTGTCTGTCCATTGACACACTGAATAGTCCTGCTCAGTGTAGCGCCAGAAAACAAGAAGCTCACTGGATGACAAGAATCCGGAAGGAGAGCTCCACAGGCATTGACATGGTCATCGCGCACAATGATTTCGGCAGAAACAGAGGCTTCACATTTCTGAGCTTGCGTAGCCAGAAGATAGGAGCGATGTTCACCAGGAACGCTGCATGTACGTTTGCTACGATCCCTGAGGGCTGAAAGGTCGCTGATTCTCTGCAGAAAGATCTTGCTCGTCGCATCAGAGAGCCATGTGGCAATACTCAACTGTTCTGGCAAGAGGACAATAGTCACTTCACATTTGCTTTTCCCATCGTCGTCTTGCAGTGTTTCGACGACTTGCTGAATGCACCAGAACAAATCCGAAGCACAATATTCGTCGAAGTCTTTGAACGGGATGGAAATCTCGTGGCATGGCACCTCTCTGTCAGACTCATCTGAGATGACCTTAGTTCGGCTGTCGCAGCTGGAAAAGGCTCGCAATTCACAAGTGCCAAGAGTTGCATAACCAATCATGAGACGAAAGTTGCACTCTTGACGTGCAATTTGCTCGACGGTGGACTTGTTAGACATTCGGCAATCAGTATTGATGGCACAAATCTGCTGCATCAGGTTGTCAGGGGCTTCCCACATTCCATTGAGGATTTCTTGGATGGTCTGATCAGCTCTAACCTTGAAATCCAAAGGAAAATCAACACAGGTCCCCAGGAGATTCCACTCACACCGACCGATCGGGGGTTCGAGAGCCTTGACGGACACCCACTTCCAAAAATCCCTTTTTGGAATCAGGTGAACAAACCCCTCATGTGCAAAGAGGATTGCATTGTAGGCAGAGAGCCTATCTGACCACGCTTTCCTGACCAGGCCGATCGGATCGATTGAGCACGTGCACGTGGCATGGAGGACAATCGAAAGCGCAAGGATACTATGCGGGACCGTAATGGCGTTGCCAACAAAGTGAAAAGACTCCTCGATCTTTTCGGACAGGACAACATGTTCAGTGGAGCCGAACAGACTGCAGAATAGAGCTGGATCCAGAAAGCTGAAGCCCTGCGCAGTTTCTCGAAGCATGGCAAATATGCCCTTCTGGCGTAAATGGTGTTCCGCCAAAAGGTGCTGTCTCGAATACGATGCACAGAGGGTAGGCAGGACCTCAGCTGCGGATGGCACTCTGGAGCGAATGATCTCGTTGTGGAGCAGGTTCTTGTTCTCGTACCTGGCGCGTTTGGCAGGAGGCAAGTACTCAATGGAGTCATATGTTTTGCATTCGGATGGCGAAAGCTGAAGTTGCGAAATCCATCGTTTGGGCAAGGCAAACTCATATGCTTGATCAGTCCACCGAGATCTCGGAAATGTCGGCAGGTGGAGCATGAAAGGGAAGGTTTGAAGTGTAGCATCAAACCTGACCCAAACACCTAGCCATCTGGAACGTGCATGCGTAGTCATGACATGGTATGGAGTGACCTGATCCCAAACTAGAACATAGCCAAGGGCGTGTGCCAAGGCTTTGACAACTTTGAAATGTTCATGGCTAACGATATCGTCAGCGCATTCGGCGGCAATTCCCAGGGTCTGAAGGGAAAAAGCTGCAATCAAAGCGTCCAGGAAAGCTTCTCCATTTTGGTCATCAAGGCCGGCCCTCCGGCCGCCTTTGCTCCAGCTTTGGCATGGAGGAGACATCGTCGTGATCACATTCACTTGTGATCGGCATGCACCCATGATGGACGGTTCTGAAATGCTTCCACACAGGCCAACGTGCTTGGCATGACACCAAGCTGTCTTGTAGTCCAGCGGCAGCGTGCGGTATGTAGCACTGTGCTTCATGTTCCACAATGTCATGACTTGTGGGTCATTGTCGATGAATATCTCTTGACCAAGGCACATTGTTTTGTTGCCGTCCAGCCACCGGGCCGCTTGGCTCCAGCCACTGAAAGCTCCGCAGAACATGTGTACAACACCCCATGGAAGTGTAGGCTCCAACTCCGGTCTAAAGCACACCTGGGCGTTCTTCAGGACGATCGTACTTGGGTCGACCGAGGTGTTCACCCCTGCACAAATGATCTGGATGCCAGTGCAAAAATGCAGGCAACGGTCCAACACGTCATCAAAGACAACCTTGAGCAGGAAATCGTCCGACTGACACTTGAAACCATGCTTAGGCTCAAATCGCAGGGCATGAAGGTCCACCCAACCCTCGCCGAAGTCAGCGACATCTCCAGCAACGTATGTCTTGCCACCTACCGTAGGAGCAAAACCAGCGTTGAGGCCTTCGAACAATCCTCGGATCTTCGGTGCAGAATGGCTCTGGCCAAGACAAGCCTGCAGGGCTCCCAGCACATCCATGGCTCGAGACCTGGAAGTAACACGCGAACCTCAGGTCACAAGAAACGGCCGCCCTCTTTGGGGAAAGAGGGCTAGTTGACACCGCCCCCACTCCGCGAGGAGTGGCGAGCGGCCGTCGGTGGCCGGACACCTAAGCCGTCGAGCTTTGGGCCCCGTGGCTACATTACTACTAGTAACAAGAAGCTACTAGGTTGCAGGGCTACCGCTAGTAGTTTTCGAAAGAAGTGAACTTTGAACACAGGATGTAAACAAGGATGATGTGAACAAGGCTTGGTGCCACGTTGAGCTCCGTACGTGGCACGCTGCATGGCAAAATTGCAGTCGTTCATGTGCTGTGCAGTTTGGCTTTGTGGAAAGTGCTTTTGCACGGCCCCATACCGCATCCCACACGTCTTCACACGTCACATCATCACATCATTCATTTTTCATTTTGGTTACTACTAGCGAGGCACTTGTTACTACTAGTAAGGCACCTGTTACTACTAGCGTGGCACTTGTTACTAATAGCTTCTTGTTACTACTAGTAAGGCACCTGTTACTAGAAAGAGTTTTGTTTGGAATAATGTTCTCGTCTTTCTATTCGTGGGTTGCTGTCAGACCACTTAGACCATCATCCGCATCCACTCATCAGCTATCCTTCCTCTTCCGTTCGCTGTGTGTCTCATCTTGCCATAAGCACACAAACTCGACATGTGGTTTCATTCAGTCCTCAAACTTGCAAGATTTTTACGCGTCGGGGAATTGGTTGGTTACCGCTTCCACAAGGATTTTGAATGCACCCGCACCGATAAGCGAATCTTATGCCTTTTGCGGACATTCACTGAGCATTCATCGCGGCTAGCAGCCAGCACTTTTGAGCAGGTTTGCCATGTTTGCTACTATTGGTATTGTGGCAGTCGAGCCCTAAAAAACTGAAGGGTTTGGGTTGGGTTTGGCGCGTTTTGGTTTGTGCTGCAAGGCAGAGTTGGCAACAGGCAAAGATGCAGTGGAGCACTGTGCTGAGGGTTGCCGCAAGTTGCACAATGAAATTTTCGGATTTTCAATCAAACTCAGCACCTTCAAAAGTTATTTGTGTCTATTTGTGACAGACTTTCACTTCTTTCAGGCAGCTTGGCTTTAAGTGAGAAAACCCTGCCCAAAGCCGCGGAAAAACGTCCCTTGCGCGCAGGGCAATTTTTGCTATGGCGAGGTTGATTAATGTTTTTCTTGAAGGACATTTTCCATTAAGAACATCATTTTCAATGTAGTCATGTTCACTGATGGAAACCGCTGCTGGTTGCTCTGAGAGTGCCTGTGCACTGCATGGAGACCATGCAGCCTGGCCCTGAATCTGTTTGAGCAGTGTTTGCAATAGTGAGTTTACAAGCCTTTGACAGTGTGTTTTCACTGTGAAACTTGGCTTTTGTTTCAGGGCCTGATGATTCCACAGCCACTGGCGGAGGCATGCCAGTGTTTTTTTCGCAAGCTTCCAGTGCTTTCGTGTGCTTCCAGGCTGGCATAAGCCTGGAGCATGTTGGAGATCACTTGACCGTGAAACAAACGCATCAGCCGAACTGAGACTATGCAAGTTTCAAAGGAGACAAAGACGATTTAAACAAGTTAGTTTGTTTCTCTCTTTTTTTTGGGGTAGGCAGAGGTAGGTAGGTACAGTAGGTAGGTAGGTAGGGAGATAGCTAGTAGGGCTAGAGGTATCTGTCGTAGTAGCTTTGTCACGCGCACGCGCGGGGGCGGGTAGGCCGCGGAGGTCGCTGTGGGTAGCGAACGTAGAAGAGATAGCTAGTAGCTACAAGTAGCTACTACCGACTGGACGCAGGATAGCTCGCGCATCAAGGAAACTCCCCAGGGTGGGGGAAGCTTCCTTGAAGAAGCGCTCGCACTGATTTGGTTCCTATTTTTTAAAGGGAAACTTAACTAAAGCATTCGAACTTTTGAGGTACGCGACGATACCGAAGCCTGTCCCATTCGGAATCGTGGTGGTGAGGCGCAAGTGCAAAGATGTTGTCGTTTGAAGAAGTGCTTGTGTGTGGACAAAGAGAAAGAAAGAAAGGAAAAACAGTGTAAACTTCCCAAAGAGTGGTGTAAACGTGCAAAAAATCTAGAAAGGTCTAAAGTATATCACGGAGGAAAGCAAGAAGGGGTAGCCAAGGCCACCTAAGGCCTCTCAAAGGCATTTCAGGCGATTGACACCGTAGAGTTAAAGAATGTTAAAGAATGAAACACAAAAAGAGACAGAAAAGTAAGTTAAAAACTTTATATAACTTTAACTAGTTATAGTTTGGAGTTAAAGTTAAGTTTGCCCAAACATCTAGGGACCTGGAAGAAGCCTCCGCTTTCCGTAGCTTCTTAAGCAACTTCCCTCGTAGCTACTTGAGCTTAAGGCCTAAGCGCGATGGCCTCCAATCTAGAAGTCTAGAAGCGATGGCCTCCAACCTAAGAGCGATGGCCTCCACTCTAGTAGCTTGTTGTTGCTAGCAGCGATGGCCTCCAACCGTCCAGGCCCTTGCCCTGTTTCTCTCCAAGAACCCGGAGATCAAGGCGAGAAGACGGGTGAGAAGAATCAGCCACCGGTGCAGCCGCTCCACTCGAGGTCTTGGACATTAGCAAGTCCAACATCAGCGACAATGGCCGGGAAACGAAGAGTGAGAGGAATCTAACGAGAGAGCAATATTATTGTTAGGGGTTTGCCGCTAGCTAAGCTAAAAAGTAGCTTAAGTAGTAAGAAGTAGCTACTAGATATGGACGCAGGAAAGGGTGAGCACCATTCGTTTGGTTCCTAGATATGTGCGGAAACTTAATGTAAGGCCAGGAGGGTAGCCTGTGAGGAGGCTTTGGGCTTTGCTAGTAGCGCTACTAGTAGCTTTTAAGTAGGCCGCTACCACTATCTTGAACGAAGGGCTCAGGCTTCAAGGAACCTTCATGATTTGGTGACTATCATGTCCTTTTGGAAGCCCTTTGTTCCTAGTAGCGAACATTGCTCCTAGTAGTAAGGCCAGGAGCTACTAGGAGCGTCCGATCGCTCCTAGTAGCGATGCCCTTCGTTCCGTTCGTAGCGTTCTTGTCCGAGGTTTGGCACATATTTGCCTAACCTTGCGCCAAAGCAACCAGCTGGAGGATGTGAAATTCAAGCACACTCGATGGAAATCTCAACTCGTCTCGGAGGAGCTTCATGCCAACCCTGTTGGCCACACCGGCCTTGAATTCCTATTGGGCTCGAAACTCAGAGCCGAATCTGTGCAGAGATTGTCAGCAATTTGACAGCAATTGTCAGCAACCATTCAGGTTGCAAGTAGCTCGCTGAACACATCTCATTTTGCTCCTTAGGGTGGAGCTACTAGGGACTCCTGGCATCGCTAACTAGGAGCAAGGACGCTACTAGGGGCTCCTGGCATCCCTACTAGGAGCAAGGACGCTACTATAGGGGCTGGTGGCATCGCTACTAGGAGCAAGGACGCTACTATAGGGGCTGGTGGCATCGCTAC